GGACAGAGATGAGGAAGAAACGTCACAACTTGCTTGCAGAAACAAAGACTGAGGGACACCAGTTGGTATCCATCCCAGCAGGGTGCTGAGGTTCATCATGAAGGAATCACAGGAGCCTGGTAGGGAAGCTATGAGCCCTGGAAGTAGCATGGGTTTACTGATCATCCATGGTCAGACTGATGGTAGTCATGATCATCAGACTGCAGGTAAGGAAGTGTAGTAGACATTGTAAATCTATGATTCAGTCTGAAAATTATGAGTAACACCAATAATAGACTATAATCTGGGTGCCAGTACAATGAGATGGTTTGCCACTTGCACATGGGATGGTTAGCTAGTTGTACATAGGACAATTTGCTAGTTGTACAATGAGATGGTTTGCTAGTTGTACAGGGGATGATGGTTCGCTCATTTGGACGACAGCCCACATGGTACCAGTTCAGGGGCAGACTGTGACAGACCCTACTGACATCATGCTGAGCTCAGTCTCCCAGCATGCTGCTCATTGTTTCTATCAGCGATGGAGACAAAAAGAAGGGAGCCAAATTCATCAAGTCTAAAGATGTTGAGAAGCCAAACACACAATGTGCTGGATGACAAAATAAATGGGCAAAAAGTCAGCCCAGAATCAAACAGTAGTAAAGTAGTAAAATTTACTAAATTTACTAAATTTTACTAAAGTAGTAAAATTTAGTAGGGAAAATAAAAGATCATGTACCTAGTTTTAAACACTCAACTGCACAGATACAAATTCGCAGAGCAGTAAGAGGAGAAATTTTAAGTATTTGTATAGTAAGTTCACTGTGCTTGGAGAGCCAGTCCCATGTGGGGACAGTCGTCCCTCCAACTAGCCAACCGTCTAGCTTAACTTTCATCCAGGCATTTCTCCACCTCTTCACCTATGACTTTCAGATTTACGAAGAGATGCTCAGTGCTGATGCGACCGACCCAGGATAGTGCCTAGTGTCACCAGAATCACAGCCCTAATGAATTCCTTGCCCTAGTTACTGGCACCTGTGAATGCATTACTTTACACAGCAAAAGGGACTTTTATTCTGGGATGCCCAGGTGGCCTGGTATAATCACAAGAGTCCTTAGAAGTGGAACGTCCTTCACCCTGGAGGTGGAAGAAGAAGGAACCCCAAACCCTGAGTAGGAGTCGATCTTCTGGTGCAGAAGCCAATAGTGGAAGAGGAGCCACAGCTGAGTGATGAGAAAGAGCCTCAGCCAACAGTTGACATGAAAATGGGGATCTAGTCCTACAGCTGCAAGAACTTGGTCCTGATGTTCACATACCCTGTCCACAATGCTTCCTATCAATCTGCAGCCACACACATTTTTAGTAAAGCTGGACCTGACATTCTGGGCCCTCCAGGAAAGGAAGACTTCCTGTAACTCATACTTGCTATGTCTTTAGGGTTATTAGTAATGTCAGATGTTGGGTAAGATCTATAGATCCTACAGATACGTTTTGACAGATCAATGCTCTGCATGAGCACAATCTCTGTGATTATGTCTGGGAAATGATACATCATAGGAAACTCAAATGACTAGATGGTTAGAAGAGATTCACATCTAAAAGTGGGTTTCCAGTGACAGTCTGCATAGGACAAAGAGAGGGAGGGATGAAGACTTGTGGTTACTTAAGTTTGAAAAATGCCACTAATTACCTTCTTCTCTTTGACTGTCATGGTGGGGCTCATTTGTCAGTGGCTTTTGGGGTCCTGCTGGTATAACTCATTGTCTCCCAAACCTACTTACCACAGAACCTTCTGAGTCCCACATGCATAAACAGTGAGCAGGACCAGACCTCTTTGCCATGTGCCAATAGCACCAACTGGTGTAAGAAAGCTAGGGGGTCCCATCTAACAAAAAGTGTTCTTTGGAAAACACTTCAGAGAATACAGATCCAGGGATACCCTCATTTTTTTCATTCAGAGATAGGCACAGCAGTTCTTGGGGCCCAGTCCCTGTGCCAAGAGCAATAGGACTCCAGCAGCCACACACACACAGACCCAGCAGCTCACAGTATCTCTCCAGCACCTTCACTGCCTCTCCACCAGTGTCACCAAGGCAAACAGTGACTGACCTCCAGGCAGCATGCTGGTTCCCACACCAGCTAACTCCAATCAGCCAGAAACTGGGCAAACCAAAAATTATACAAGGCTCACTAATTTCCAGCTGGTTCTCTTTTCATTGTGTTCATACTTGGATTTATAAATCAAATTTGCTAAAAGATATGTTTTTGAATGACTTTTCTGGCTTTTTTAGAAGGTATTTAATGAGAAGCTGAACTTTCACGTGACTTTTGCATTTAAGATTTGGAGCCATATAAATATCCTACCCTTTCAAATGAAATGCAAAGTGCTAAGATCTCACCAAAATGAGATGTGTGCACATGGTAAGTGATAACTCAGCTTCTGCCTTTCAATTTTAACATTTCAAAAAAAGATTATTAAAACACAGAAAAAGAAAATGTTATGTCTGGAAAAGTTTGATTCTAGAGTAACATTTTTAGCATAGTATAGAAAGTTAACTTAAATTTTCATTGCAATACAGTAACGTAGCTTCCTAGAGCCACTATTATTAGGTATAATATGCAAAGGCAAGTGTCTCAGAAAGTAATAGCTAAGCATTAATTCATTCAAAGAAGAGAAGAACACCCACTAATATGTTTTGCTGAAATGCAGTTAAATAAGGATTAAACTTGCAGAAAGACCAACTACTGGTAGGCTGTGAGCTGGGACTAGGGATGAGCGGGAGAGATGGTTTGGCAAGGGAAAGGAAATGTCCAAGACTGAGAGGAGGCTCCTGACGAGGCAGAAGGGCTGGCAAGAAGCCAGTGCCCACTGTTGCTCCTGACCAAGACAGGCAATGCAGGGAAGACATCAGATATATTTATCAGAAAATTATCAGTAAAGAAACTGTGCTGAATTCAGTTTCAATTTGAAAGCGTTTAGTATCAAGCTGCAAAGTTTAGTAAGTCAGATTTTAAGTTTGTGCTTCCTTTCATAAGAAGTGATGGCCATGCAAGACAAGGAGTAAAAACTAAATAAGAGCTTGAATGTATGTGAGTGTGTATTTGTAGATGTGTAAACATGTTTGTGTGTGCATGTGTGGATATTTATGCATGCAGGTATACATGTATGCCTGTGTGTATGTGTATGCAATGCATATGTGTAGTGGCATGTGCATGGATATTCATGCATATGCACATATGTGTGCACATGTGTGTATGCATGTAGTTGTATGTATGCATGTATATATGCTGTGAATTAAGTATGAGTCATATGCTGGGCACTAAGATCATTACTTTACTTCTATTACACTGTAACCTCACAAAAACTCTTTTAAGGCAGACAGTATACCCATTTCATAGAGGGGAAGACATTAGCCCATCTACTTCCCCTCATCGTCTCTTACCCACCACTGATTCATTCTGTCTCATCACCTAGGGAAGTGCTGCAAAATTCCCACAAGGTCTTAAATTATATATTTACTTTAAAACTTCTTATTAATATTAAAATTTCTCTTACTACAATGATTCAATAAATGTATGTTCTAAATTCATTTGAATTGTGGGTGCACTGGTTTGTGTACTTCTTTATAAACATCAGTGGAGCTGAAACTCTAGGCCGGCTTCCTTCTGCTTTTGAATAAGGGTAGTTAAGAAGAAGCCAGAAGGTTTTTTCCAGTGATTTGTTTACTGGTTTATATATATTTTTTGATTTGGTTTGGTTGCTTTTGGGGTTTTTGTTCCTTTTGCTAATTTACAAGCTCACTTTTATGTATTCTTCTTTATCTGTGGACATTACAGTGGACCCTTGACTTACGAACTGAATTTGTTCCAGATGGTTGTGTTTGAAACTCCAGTTGATCAACTGAAGGCTCAGGCTCCTCTACACAGCCTTCAAAGTCTTCTGTATACAGGCAGATCTCAGTGTCCTTAGAGAGACACTGGCCCAGGATTTCTCAACCCCACACAGGAAAGGAGTTGTAATGCTCCTTCTACAACTCTTTAAGGGTTAAATTTGTATCTGAGACCACCTGAAAGCGCAAGCAGCTGGCATTTGGGTTGTAACTGAAGACTTTGTTCATAAGGAAGAACTAAAATTCCGGTCATAACCCAAGTTGTTCGTATGTCAGGCCAGCCGTAATTCAAGGGTCCACTGTATATTTTTGACCATCTTAAGAACAGCTTTAACTTCATCATGGTCCTTTGTCACCGTGCTTGTCTCAGCAGTGTGTTTCTTGCTGCTAGTGGGCCATTGGCGGTGACCAACTCGGACTCCCTATCCTGAGGCACCCTTCCACGGCCATCAGTCCGGACTTCATAAGAGTCATGGCATCTGCAGCCCTTCCCAGGGCTTTGCCTGTGTTATGCTGACTCTCACAAAGTTTTTCAGCCCATCGGGCCTCTGAAATAACTCCCCAGATGATCTCCTGCCCACCCAGCCTCAGGAGGATCCCCACCACTCCAGTCACCCACTACCCCAAAAACATTGCTTAGCTTAATCTTCACCTTGTGTATTTGGTCAAATTTTAAAAACTGCATTTCTAGGGCTGGGGGTGTAGCTAAGTGGTAGAGCACTTGCCTAGCATGCATGAGACTCTGAGTTCCATCCCTAGTGCCAGAAAAGAAAAAAAAAATTGCATTTTTCTGCAGCACAGTCTGATGTCCCTCAGCTGCTCCCTGTGTGAAGAAGTGGGGCCCAATCCATTGCCCCCACTCTAGCATGAGGCAGTGAAAATAAAAGCAGTCACTGAGCCCTTAGAGGGGTGGTGCGCTTCTGGAAAACATGGTCCTCTCCTAAAGCCACAAGGACAGTAGACTTAGGAAAGTGGAGGGTCCTGGATGTACCATGTAAGCAGAGCCACTGTGCCGAATCCCAGAGGAACCATCCCAAGTCAACATCCCTGTTGAAGGCTAGAGGATCCATGAATCTCAGAAAGCTGGAAAGAAAAGCTGGTGAGGGTGGACAGGACTCGGGCATGCTCACCTCAGGAAACGCGCTGATCCCAAGTGGGTTGTTGAGCCCTAGGTGGTTGTCCTGTCCCCCACATCACCGCTGTGAGGACCACTCTGTCAACAAGATGCAATTTGCTATGTTTAAGAGCAGTGAGACACTAGAGAGAAAGTTGCTGAATTACCACTTCCTATTTAAAAGCAACGCCTACCTGCCCAAATGCACATGGTTAACCATATACATCCTGAAGGGCATAAAAAATACCATGAAAATCAATCATATGACTCTTGGAATCAAAGAAAAACCAATGGTAAAATGGGTGGTTGGGGAGAACCCAACATTCCAGCCTCTCAAAGAAGAGAATCACAAGCCAGGGCTGATGGTGGATACTTGCAATCTCTGGGAAACTAAGGCAGGAAGATCGTAAGTTCAAGGCCAGCCCAGGAAACTTAGTAACTGTCTCAAAGTTAAAAATGAAAAAAAGGGCTGGGATTTAGCTTAGTGGTTCTGCCATCTGCCTTGAAAGCGCAAGGTCCTGAGTTCGATCCCCGGTACCAAAAAAAAAAAAAAAAAAAGGCTGGAGATGTAGCTCAGTGCAAAGGCCCTGGGTTCAATCCTCAGTATAAATACACACACACATGCACACACATGCGCATGCATGCACAGCTAATACTCAAACAAAAACTCCTGGGACCAAGTATCTCTGTGTGGCTGGGAGGCTGTAGGGATGTTCTGGGTGCCTGAGAGGCATGGGCAGGTCTGGGCCTGTGTCCCCCATCCCCATCACCAAGCTGTGCAACTACAGGAGGGATTCACACCCCTCCCAGGCCACAGCTCCTCCAGAGAAATGGTCTACTGTGACTTGCGAGGGACAGGGAGGAGTGCGGGTGAGGCAGTGGCATGGAGCTAGAGGACAGCTATTCCCCAGGAACGTCCCCTGTAGTGCTGTGCTGTGGAATCAGAGGCTTAAGTCCCTGCCTTTCTGGGCACCTGACCTCCATGAGACAGCAGGTAAAGGCTAGGGCCACCCTGTCATTAGACAGGTGGAGGGAAATAATGGGTGAGGATTCAGAGGATTCATTTTTAGGTTCAAGCAGTTAAAAAGACACAGAGAGAAAAGAACTGCAGAATAGTAACATTTTGCACACCTGGGCTGCTGTAAACCCAGCCTCAGGAAGTGCAGAGAGCTTCACTGTGGAAGCTCTTCCCCTTGAAGTGCATGGCCGACTTTCTCCACCCAGCTGATTAGGTGTCTCTACTGCCCAGGGCTCTTGTCTCAGCCCTGCTTGGCCCTGCTTGGCCCTGCTTGGCCCAGCCCACATTCAGTTGCAGCAGCACAGCCAGCCTGTGCCAACTTCTCTGGGAATTAGCCAGCCACGGAGGGACCTTCACCTGACTCCAGGTCCCTTCCCAGCACTTCTGCTGTTCCCCACCAGACTCTGCCTGGGCCAATTGGCTGCTCTCCCTGCACAGGAAAAGCCTTTCACTGATCTAATATTCTACCGACCTGGTGGCCAAAGGGGCCTGTAGTAGATGTCTCTGTCCCTCCCTCTGAACAAGTCTTTCCTTCCTGAGTTCTGCTTCGTGGTTCTCTGACTGGGTCTGCAATTTCCCTGGGCTCTGGGTGCCCTGGCTGTCTTTCCTGTAAGAGGAGCCTTAGCTGTCCCTGGATAGAGAAGAGAGCTGGGAACACCTGCCTTCTTCCTTCATTCCTTCTCCTCCTTCCTCCAGCACAAGTTTCTGCTCTTTGCAGAGAGCAGAAGCAGCTAGAAGAACTGCCCGCCTGAGCCCCAGACACCTAGAGAGGAAGCAGAAGCCCTCGTGGGTATTTAGGGAAATGTGCTTCTGTATTCCCCAGCTCTTTGACCAAATGCTCTCCCTCACCTTCCCCTTTCACACCCTCATTCAGTATGAATGAGATGCTAGTAGATCTCTAGCCCTAGAAATGCCCTACCTGGGGAAATAGCAACAGATTTGACTTTGCTAAGAACCTCAAAGAATGTTAAATAGATATGTGGTCCATTGTGCAAAGCACTTCTGGGCAGATACACAGAAGGACTGAGGGGACAGGATCATGAGGTCCCATCTCACTTCCCTCCTTGGAAACTAAGCGCCTGCCCAGAGCTCCAGGCAGGTGGGGAGAAGCCGAAGAGTGACCTCCTCCCTCTGTCCAGGAGAGGGGAGTGAACCACTGGGGATCTGGGCTCAGCCTTTGAAGCCTCCTAGCCTGAAGCCTTGGCCTCTGATTTGTGTATCTGCAGATGAGGCCAGGCTGTGGTTCCTTGGCCTCTGCGATGCCCCTTGTGTTCTTTGCCTGAGATGACAGCCAGTGCCTCAGATGGCATTGTGCCAAGGTCACCCAGCTGGGTCCAGCCTTGGGACAACTTAGACCCCAGCCACCCTTTGCAAGAGCTGCTCTGCTGACCTGTCAGCCACAGCCATGAGAGAGTCTGCGTATCGTCACCGGAAGCCACCATGATCCAAGGTAGTTGGCTAAGTTCTCTACTCCTCACCAGACACTCAAAACTTTGGAAATAATGAAGAGCATTAATTATAAAGCAAAATAAAAGCCTACTTCATTTGTTTAATAAAATAAGTCCATACTGTATCCAAGTAAGCAGCTGGCTAGGGGAGGAGGGATCTAAACAGTGCCATTGCTGGACACCAGCAAACTGGAAAGACAGAGTGCCAAGCCCTGTGCTGGTCTGAATGTGCCACAGGGTATGGATCTACACCTTTTCCTCCATATAGAAATAAGGACTTTCAATAAATTATGTCAGCAAACTCCCCTGTTAGGAACAAAAGTGTATTTTACAGAAAGAATGACAAGCTATGCTAATACTCACATTTTGGAATTTACAAAGACTTCAAGTTGTATATCCTTCATGTTCACTACAAAGGCAATAGATCTGGGAAGTTTGGCATCCATCACTCTATGGCCTAAACTGAAGACTGTCCCCCTTTACGGTGGAGCGAGAGCATCAGCCCATCTGTTTGCTGTGTGCTTAATGCCCATGAAGCATATGCTTCTGAGGCATTGGCAAGTATGCCTCACTCGGTACCTTTAAGGAGTGCACACAGCAGGAAGTCAGGGCACAGATGCAGGACTTTACAAAGGACATGCAATGAGTATGGGGATGAGTGATTGACCATTGAGGAAAAAGCCTAGAGCAGTGATGGTGAACCTTTTAGAGACTGAGTGCCCAAACTGTAACCCCAAACCCATTTAATTATTGCACAGTACCAACACTGCAATTAAACTTGAATACCGAGGTTTTAGTTTAGAAAGAAACAATTGATATCTAATGCTCGGCTGCTAGGGTGAATTGGTTTGCATGCTGACAGAGAGGGCTATGCATGCCTGCTACAGCATAAGTGCCATAGGTTTGCCACCACCACTGGCCTGGAGAATGCTAAGTGCTCACAGGCAAGAGGCTGGCTGAGGGCCTGTGAAATGGGAAGGGTTGGAGCTGAGTTGGGAGGATGAATCAGACTGCCCAGGGAGGAAGGCTATGCCCAGGGATGCACACCAGGAACAGAGCATGGACAAGGTATTGGGGCAGGAGGCACTGAAGTGGACCAAATAAAGGTCCAAGAGGAGAGCAGAGGAATCTGGGACAAAGAGCTGGAACGTCGGTGACAGGGTGAGGGTACAGATGTCCACACTGTGGGGTCAGGTAGCACATCTCTGGGATAGACAAGAAGGACACAGTAAGCAAATGCCTATGATGGTACTCCTGTGCCAAAGTCTTGGCCCAGTGGCCACTCACTTTTCATTAATTGTCACCCAGGCCTTGATGGCACAGCCATTATCAGATCATAGACAAGAAAATGGCAACTTGGAGACATAAAGCCACTTCTCAAGTCTTCTTGCCTAATACCTTGAAGATCCAGGGCTCAAAACCATGTTGTTTGATCCCAAAGTTCATGGTTTTTCAGGATAAGCTTGAAGAGGAAGTGATGTTTGGGAGACATTTTGAACAATCAGTAAGGATCAAGAGGAGGGAGAGTTCAAAACAAAGCCATATTCACCATCTGGACTGAAATAGGGAAATCAGGACTGGACACTTATCTCTAAGTTTATAACTTATTTCTACATGAAAGGAAAGTTATAGTTACGGAAAGTCAAGGTACAAATATCTGACAATACAAGCAACCCAATACAGCAGGGTATGCATGCCTCAACTTTCTGGTCTAAAGAGGAAAACATGGATTTCACTTAACATATGCAAAGCGGGAGGAGGTCCAGGTCTGTGGACTTGAAGATTTGAGGGCATTCTTGACATGATTTTAGATTCATGTCAGCCATAAATTGGTTATTTTTTCCAATTAATCTCTGGGTGTCTATCTCCCCATGGACAGAAAATGGATTGGCAATTTGTAAATAATGAACTTATGGATCAGAGGTACATAGAGTTCCTCTCACACAGCATTTGGTGTGCAGAAGCTGCCTGCTATTTATTATGATTATTATGTAGGAAGAGACATGGGGATGGTGGTGCACAGAGAGGTTCTAACCGAGCTCAGGGTTAAAGGAAGCAGAAGGACACCCAGAAATCAGGAACAGAGACAGACAAGAAGCAGCTATGCTACTCACAAATCAATGCAAGATTATTCACAAAGGCAAGGGAGAAGAGTGCTCAAAGAGCCTGCAGAGTTGAGGATAAGGACAGACATGAAGGACAGACAATTGCTCAGGTTCACTGTACCTCTAAGGATAAACTCAGGATGAGTGCTCTGTGAAGTCTGTCCTGCAGGAAGCAAGAAGGACACTGAGGAAATAGAGACCACAGCAGCAGAAAGTTCTCAAAACTTGCAGACACTCAGAAAAGAGGATGGAGATGTGGAGAGCAGCAGGCCTGAGGAAAAGTTGATTTTGTTAACCCTAAGCGGTCAGCAGGTAACACCTCCAACTCCCTGCACAGCACTCTTGACCCACACATGGCTTCAGCTGCAGGGATGGGGGACAGAGATACAGGGACCAGGAAGGACAAAGATGTAGGGGCCATGGAGAATAGAGAAGCAGGGACTGTGGAAGAGAGAGACATGGGGATTGTGAGGAAAGAGCAGAGACAATGGAGGATGGAGACAAAGGGGACTAATAAGAATCAAGATGCAGGGACCAGAGAGGACAGAGACACAGAGACC